TGTGTGTGTGTGTGTGTGTGTGTGTGTGTGTGTGTGTGTGTGTGAGGGGACAGTGAGTGTCCAGAGTGCCTGACCAGTGCGATCGTCCCCTTAACCGAATCTCACGGTTCCTTTAAGTCAAACAGGACTTTGTGTCCCTTTCAGCTCAGTTTGGTCTGTTTGTCGTTGTGCGTCTGTTCTTGTGCGTGCCTCTGATTGTGCGTCTGTCACTCGTCTATGTTGTGGAGCGGCTTCTGGTTGCGTCCTGGTGGGAGGGAGTTTCTCACCACTGTTGGAGACGAATGGACCAACCTCACTACTGTAATCATCCCACTCCATCAATGTRTTTTGAATGATTGTGAACTAGTCGCTGTGTTAGACTGTAATGACCAATAAAACACTGAGACTAATAATGGATGTTGAATATTTACTGTGAGCACATGGAGAGGTGGTGTGAATTAAAGAAAAAAAAAGAAGAAGTGATTGAATATTTTTGTTTCATTACTGAACCTGTGGTCCTATTATGTTTCACTTCACATTGCTGCAGTTTAATTCAATAATCAAAGCTGCCTGTCTCTGTTGTTGCTAAAGATTTTTGCTGCGAGGCGTCGTCCTGATGWTGAACGACACGGCTAAACATTATATCTCTTGCATCGGATGCTCACTGCTGGGCTTGTTATTTTGCACGCTCAAAACATGAATATTTGACGAAATGTTCAGTGAAGCAGTGTTTAACATGATGTTATTTTTTTGTACTGTAGTATACACTGTACTTTTTACTGCTGAGCAATAAAACAGAGAGAAAAAATAAAACTTGCTTGTCCTCGTTTGTCTGAGTTCGACTTAATTAACTGAGATTTTCTCAAATTTCTGCTGAATTTTCACAAAAGGTTCCAAAGGAGCATTATGCAGATAATGTTAGGGCTTATATTTACTAAAGGTAACAAAGCAGCACTAACAGTCTTGCCGACTGCAGCACATCCATTGATGCAGAGCTGGAGTTTTCTCTTTGTGCACAACTGCTGCGTTTGCTCAAGTCAGGCCCGTCTCCTGGAATCTGACGGCAGGTAAGTAATCTGTTTACTGCTGAGGAGAGGATTAAGTTACTTTCAGATTTGCAGGCTGACTGATACAAGYTAACCTCTTTTCTGATGTTTAGATTTATTAATTTTCCTGCTTCTTTGGTTCAAAAACATTTGTTTTAAGTCAATTTTTAAGAATCAGATCCCAGTTTAAACCACGTTATCAATAGTTAAATTTCAAAGCAGCGTGTTACTCCATTGATCATTTTGTTTGAGAGTTATTTAAACTTTTAGATTTGAATATCACTTTTCTTTTTGAAAAATTTGGCCTAGTCTTGTAACCACCAAGCTACCTCAAACCTCCAATGTTTGATCTTCACATAGCACAATAATAAACATTTTGCTTTGGAAATTTTACATTAATTCATAATTAAATTCTAGAATAGTATTTTAGGTCTCATTTATTTGTATAATTATTTAGCATGGTGTACTTAAAACAATGTCACATATCAAAAATGTAAACAAACTTCTAATTTGCAGTCTAGTTAGACTTTAAATCAAAATTAAAAAAATATGGTCTAGTTAGAGGAAATCGGTTAATTGTGGACATCTAAGATTTAGGTTGGCAATCCATAACAGCATCCAAAGTCATTTAATTTGTATGTTTAAATTAGTAATAAAATCATCACACTCATATGCTTGATTGTAAAACATAGTTGAGGTAATTTTTCAGTGAAAAAAGTCACTCCGTGATTCCCATCATTTGCTTGTTCAATATTTTTGCTGCTTGTTGGTGAGTCTTTGCAGTCACAAATATAMAGTAATCTGAACATCATCTCAGACTTTTATTTTGACAGGGAAAAGTGTTTGCAGCCACTAAAACTTCCGGTTCAGAGCGGAAGTATTTCCGGGCGACAGTGCAGGTTTGTCAAATATCCTATTCCCTGCATGGCATGGTTGACAGCGTAGCCGACGATTCAGACGGGGAACTGGGGCCTCCACTTGAATATCCGGCTCTAACAGATATAAAACCGTCAGAGTAATACGTAAACAAACCTCTTCCGGTCGTTTCAGCAGCTGTCCTCACTCTCCGAGAGCGGATTCTCCTCATTTGTCATCGCTCCGAGTTAGCTGACTAACACTCGTTGCTCGCTGAAAATGGCGGAACCAGCAGAGAAGAGCCTGGACGACTTCTTTGCCAAGAGGGATAAAAAGAAGAAGAAAGAGAAAGTGAAGGGCAAGGAACCAGCCACGACCGGGTCCACGACGTCGGTCATGGTGAAAAAGATAAAGAAAGAGAAGGAAAAATCCACGAAAAACGAAAACCAGGACGCTCAGATCGAAAAGGTAACCCATGCTAAGTTTGGCAACTTTTTTTAAAAAATGCTCGATTAGCGTCTTTAACCTCACAGCGGTGACGTGTTCGAGTTTGTTTGCGGATTTGATTATGTGCCTGTTAACACCTTTGCTTTTAGTCTGTGTAATAAATGAATGTCATGAAAATAGTGTATTTTGACATGTGGWGAAACGCCGGGTAGCTGACATATGGTCACCAGGAGCACATTTTGTAACCGGGTGCAAAAATTAGCACGACGCCCATCTTATGCAGTGATTCAGGGTTTGTTTAAAAGCCTTTTATCACTGGGCTTTTAGATACTGAGTGTTTATATATTTATATTTGGAAACTGCTGCTCCTCTTTTTTGAATAGTCTATCTATCTAT